TTGGCTTCACAGATGGTGATAAGAAGCACATTAGTTGGTGGGAAGTTCCTACTGAAAAGATACTTTATGGAATGGCTACAGAGGCCATAAGGGATGCCAGAGACTAAGGATTCATCTTCCAGAAAGTCACAGATTTGTCGTCCATCGTGTTTCCTTATGCAAAGAGATCTTGTAGTACCTTAAGACTAAATAAAAGAAAGAAGCTATCAGGGAGTCTCAAAGGTGCTACAAGATCCCTTTGCATACTGTTTTTTCAGACTAACGCAGCTATGCCTTTCAAGTCTGTTTCACGCTTGCTAGATATGAAATCAGATACCAATACAGCAGCTACTCTATTTTGCCTACCATTGTTCTTTGTTTCTTCTTAGGAAACAAAGTTTGGACTTTTTATGTCTGTATACTGTTATGAAAGCCAGTGTATTGTATTGGTTTGAGTGGTGGACTGGGACTCTGGGAGACCAGAGTTTGAATCTCTGCTCAACCAGAGAAACCCACTGTCACAATCTCTCAGCCTCACAGAAAGGTCATGGCAAGCTCCCTCTTAACAAATCTTTCCAAGAAAACACCACGATATGTTCACTTTCTGGTTACCATCAGTTGGGTACTATAGGAAAGCCAGTGTGGCGTAGTGGTTTGAGTGCTGGACTATGACTCTGGAGACTAGGATTTGAATCCCGGCTCGGCCATGAAAACCTACAGGGTGACCATGGGCAAGTCACATGCTCTCAGCCTCAGGGGAAGGCAATGGCAAATGTGCACACTGAAGAAATTTGCCAAGAAAACCCTGTGATAGGTTTGCCTTAAGGTTGCCTCCCAGATCCATCCCTCCTTACTAGACTCCAGGCAAAAGACCTCCCTCCCTTCCTCTCCCTGCAATGGCTGTTTTACCGTCTCTTGGAGTTCATTCCTTCGGACTGCAGGCTCCCCTTTCCCTAACCTGCAGCCCAGGCCTGGATGTGTGCCTTTGGGGACTATTAGGGAGAGCTCCCATCTTCCTGGGAGGCAAATGGGGAGGGAGCAGAGCTCAGTTCCAGCCCCCTTTCCTCCACCCAGAATTATGTAGAAGGAAGGCTCTCCCCTCTGCCCCAGAGCCATGAGATCTGAGGGGGCTCTGTTCCTAAGGGGAAGGGGGACTAGAGATGGACCCTCAGAACAAGTCAATATATACCTGGAACTGGAGGGGGGGCGCTTTGTATTTAGATAACATCTCTTCTCAGACATCCCTGCCCTACATGACCCCCCCCCCCCGGAATTAGCCCCCCTCCTCCCTCCCTCCAGCAGTCTCTTCCTTTTGGGATGTATTAAAACAAATGACAGTACTTGCCCTTAGGGAAACCATACCTGGCCTTAGAGAATCATTGAGGAATTCTTGCCCATAGAAAATCATTGGGTTATGCTTGCCCATAGAGAATCATTGGGAATCCTTGCCCAATGTTTTCCTATGAGCAACCATTCTCCAATGATTCTCTATGGGCAAGGAATCCCCAATGATTCTCTATGGAAAAGTATGTTTTCCCTATGGGCAAGTATACCGATTGTCATACTTTACCCCAACATCACCTAAAGTTTTCCTGATGCTAAACATGAAGACTTCTTGAGAAATTCAGGGTTCTCTCCCTGTATGGGAGCCTGAGGCTTTGCAAAGGAAAGAGACATGCTGGATTCCAAG